GGACCCTCCTCTCCAGGACCCCTGAATAGACCTTACCAGGGAGGCTTAAGAGGTTAGTTGAGTTGAATGTAAAATAAGGATTGAAAAAAATCCAGTGAAAGATTTCCCCCTTTTTTAATTCAAGCAAACAAGAATTTTTAGTATTTCCATATACAAACAAAAGAGATGCAAATGCTCATTGTATTAGGAAAAAAGGTTTTAAACTCGTTCACAATTTGAACCTCTGCGGGGGTAACAATGCTTCTTGAAAACAAATCATATGCACCTGATTGGCATAACCTAGGACTACCAGAAGCTCAAAACAATAGTCAATAGCAATAGTAAAATAAGCTTATTGGCAGAGAAGATTTAGCAAATTCTTCATGTGTCCAACACACATACTGAGYTTTACTGCTCATCCTACAAATGCATGTTCCTTACAAATGTGGYCCCATTTAAAATGGAAACTAACAGGCTTTCTTACATTATAAGATTTATTGCCAAGAAGCATTGTTACAACAAAAAGTAGGTACCTCAAATGATAAGTTGCTGCCATTTGAGTCAAAAATACAAAAACTTATAGGCGAGACTGGATTTACTCAGCAAACTGCCTCGGGGCTTTTGGCAAACCTGGGAACCCAATGAGAACCTCATCAACACATTCTGAGGCTCTATTCAAACTATTACCCAATAATCCTCAGAAATGTCCAAGAAAATAACCTGATGGGTAAACAACCAATTGATTGGGACATTTGGGTTTTTTGAACAATTGGTTTTCCTTCTGAGCTTTGAGGAAAACTTCCCTTTAGATTCAGGGAAACAAATTCCTTAAGAAAACAAGTTGCAACATAACATCCTGGTAGCAACAAATAGTTCACAAACTTCAACCTTGATTAGAGTTTTGTTCAGTCTTGTTGATAATTTTATTTAGTCTGACTGTGAAGCTATAGGATCCAACACACATGATGACCGTCATAAACCTCCCAGCTCGTCTGGAAAGGTCTTCAGTCACACCTTTAAAGGACTTCCTTCCTTTCACAGTGGCATCGGTTGGAAAGTTGCGTGTCTGTTCTGTTGTGTTGGCCCTTCCCGTTGAGACTTGTCAATGGTGGTGGCTCAGTTACGACATGCATTCTTTTTCAATGTGTTTTCTGTGACTGCCAAGACCAGTTCTACTTTTGGAGCCTAGAGATAAGAAAAGAAAGGGTTTTGGTTTTGCTCCTCCCCTGTTCTTGACTGTCGCTTGTTCACTGAAATGCCCAAAATGTGACAAGAACAGATGTAATTGTGGTGTGCTAAAGGCTGATTGCACTTGATTTTCCTGAAAAGCACAACTAAAGGAGACATTTGGATGCTATTTCATCTCAGATGAAATCATTCTGATAGCAAAATTAACTCAGGAAGCAAATTATCTGCACTTCTCATTTCTCCATCACAGTTATTAAAATCCACCTCCCACACTTTTTTTTACTTCTTATTAAATTCCTGCACAGACTACGTCTGTTTGACTTCAGAGAAGATTAGAATTTATTTTATTCTTTCACCTAATCACTGGATTGAATAGCTCTGAATACAAGAACTTGTCACAGCAAACTTGCAGGTGCCTGAATTTCTGAGAACATGTCAGCAAATTCTGGTAATTGTAAAATGTCATTTTGCTTCAGAATAACAAAACACAAATTTATTTGCATATCTAGGCAAAACCAACAAAATCTAAGGAGTAAAGGGAGAACTTTGAGTGGCTGGGTTAGTTGTGACAGTGTCATCTGAGCAGAACAAAGGTTTGAAAAGACTGGAAGAAATGTGATACTCCCTTTTTTTTACAGTTTTATCACAGAAAGAACTCGTTAAACTTAATGATACAAGCTCTTCATAAAAGAGGACATAAGTCTTTTTAACATTTTTTTTGCAGTTTTTTATGTTACTCATCTAAAAACTGCCTCACACTTCAACAACATCCTGCATCGGAGCATCGCCCGGGAAACTTGCAACAACAACAAAAAAAAAATGCATTTAAGGTGTGCCTTCCTCTTGTGTGTGTGCTGGCAAACAGGTTCAGACAAGGAGGCAATCCTGTTCTTGGAATCATCAAACGTGGAGACAAAGACTTCATACAGTTTCATGGCTCTAAATGTAAAGAGAGTTTGAAGTTTTTTTAGCCTTCTATGTTTATAAGTCCAAATGAAATCTCAGTTTCCCTTTCTAGCAGACTTTCAAAATGACCTTTGATAATTTGTTGTTTTACAAACGGAGACCTAAACAGTGTCCAAAACTATTAAAGTCCAGATTGCCTTAAACTGATACTCTGGTTATTTCTGAAATGATGTTCTTTCATACAGTCGCCATTTCGTACTTTTTCAGCTGTGACAGATGTCAGTGTTAACTAATAAGAGAACTCATGCAGACACGATTCATCTAAACCAGTGTTTTTTAACCCATGATGAGTTAACTCAGCGATTCTCTTTGTGGTTAACTCATTTTTCAAGCTAAATGCAAGGTTGTTGTGTGTCATCTATATTCCCTCGATAAATCAGTTTATAGCTGTTTAAATCCGTGAACAATTGGTTACTGACCCGCGCTTCCATCTTACTTTTTTCACATGTGGGCCATTTCAGCTCGGTTACTACCTCAGTTTGGTGCACAAACCTGCACCAGGGGTGGACTGGTTTCCCTCACGGCCCCTTGGTCCAGTCAGAAATTACACCGAGGCAACCAGAAGGTGTCTAAGTCCTGATGTGTCTTTAAAAAGAGCTTTATGACTGATGTCACGGCTGACAAAGTAACAGAACAGCACCAAAAATGCTTTTGTTTGTTCATTTACAGGCCAAATCTCATTGAAATGAATTAAAATGGTGTGTATAAACCATTTTTTTAAGATTAGTTGAAACTGTTAAATGAAGTTCTGGTAATTTTAAAAAATTGGGGAGAATTTGAAGAATATATAAAAAGAGAAAGAAATGGGAACTGGGATTTCAGTTATGATGTTTATCTGCTTTGAGGTTCTGCTTGAGTCTAGAGTTTTGTTTCTGGTTTTTATGAGTTTCTGGTTTCACAGCAGTTTGTGGGGGCGTTTTATTTTATTTATTTATTTATTTTTTTACAAACACATCTGGAACAATGAAACCCCTCCACCGTCGAGGTCTCTGAGTTTTTCCTACTTCTGGTGAACTCACTCATGCCTTTGATAGAACACGTTAACAGTTTGTGTCGTTTTGTGTGTGGCACGAAAAGGGATTTGAGCTGATTTCTTTAGGYGTAAGCGAGCCTGAGGGAGAGAGGAGGAGGAGTAAAGGGAACATCTGGGGCAGCTCCAAGTCTGTTCTTTTTCCACACCCACAGAGGCGCGTTTCTCCTCTCTGCTGCGCTCCTCTTTACCTGTTCGAGGGGAGACAAATCTGTGCGTTATCGGATCCAAAACGACGCAAAAACAAGGAGCCAAGTGGACACGCGCGCGCTGACGACTCATTTCTGACCAACTATGGATTCACACATCTAATAGTAAGTGAAAACTATCAATTTAAAGGGTTTAGAAAAGTTTCGTCAAGGCTCGAGTTCGCGTTTTAGCCAGTGGGAGCGCAGCAGCGCGAGCTGATGAGTCGCTGTTTCCAACTCTGTTACCTAATTGAATCTGATGGGTTTGATTTTTTTTAAAGTGATCATTAGTAGTTCTAAAACTTAGTGCGTAAAAGTCTAATTTATAAATCGTATTTCCTTTTACACAGAACCAGTTATTATGGTTTACTTTCCCATGTTAACAAAAACTCATTAGGAAGTTTATATTATATATAATTCCATATAGTAGAATAGTATATATTTAATAATAATAAATAAAAGTTGTGAGATATTAAGCGATCAGAGTAAATACACAACTTCTGGGTGTGTTAAAGTTGGTTCAACTTGTTTTTTTCTTCTCAGCAGTTTGCCCTGAGGCCTAACCAACATTTTCAGTAGCTCCTCTTGATCCTGGTTACCAAAGGGAAATGCTTTCACTTTTATCCAGTGGTGGGATGTAACTAAGTACAAGTACTTTGTTGCTGTACTTAAGTACATTTTTCATGTATCTGTACTTTACTTTCATCATGGGTACTTTTTGACTTTTACTCCACTACATTTTACATTAAGTATCTGTACTTTCCACTACATTTCTGTAATGCGTTGAATTACAAATTGCATTCATGTCACGTTGCATTTTGTGTGTGTGTGTGTGTGTGTGTGGGTGTGTGGGTGTGTGGGTGTGTGTGTGTGTGGGTGT